TGTTCAGCGAGGTCTATGCTGACAGATGGGATAGCAGAGCCACGTGTCAGGAGATGACTAGGAGTGGATATGGGGCGCAGAGGGTATATAAGCATGTCTGCGCCCCCCATACACGAGAGACGAACATTCTGTAAGGAATTCCTACACTCTAACACTCTTCTCTCTCCCTCTTTATCCTAAGGTGTGTGCTAACTTGACCGTCGGAGGGGTTTTCCGGCCACACACCGCCGGGTAGCTCACCGTTACTTGCTCGCAGGTGATCGGACAGAAACGGAGCTTGGAAGAAAGGAGTACGGGCTTGCCAGAATATTTGCTCCCGGTACATAGACTATTCATATGGCTCAATTTTAGAGAACTCTATTGGCTCCCTACATTTGGGCAGTCACTATTCACCCTTAAAAATAAAAAATTAGTTTGCTCTTCCTCTTCTTTTCCTTCTCTCATATCATTGTCACATTAACTTCTGAAAAGATAAGTTAAATTAAAAATAATGATAAAAAGGTATTTAAGTGAATTAGAGAAAAAAAAATAAAAATTATTGTTAGAGAAGGTAATCAAAAAGTGATTCACTAAGCACAAGGAAACCTACTTTCTTAAAATAATTTAAAAAAAAAAAAAAAAAAAACACAGAAAGCATTTGTTGAAAATCGTCTACCTTTGTAAAACTTGGTTATTATATTTTTATTTTTAAATTTCATTTTGCCCCTTAAAATTTATATATATATATATATATATATATATTTTCACTTTGTCTTTTTATATTTCAAAAATTTTCTAATTTACTCCTAAAGTTATCTTCTATTCCAAATTAGACAAAAAATAACATAATAAAATATTTTTATATTAGAGTTTAAATTTATGTGTGTGTAAGATATATATAATAAAATATTTTTATATCATATGACTATCAATGTGTTATTTTCTGTTTAATATTTAACAAAAATTAATTTTAAAAATAAATTGAGATAAACTTAAAACATACAAGGTCAACTAGAAAAGAGACAAATTGTAATTTACCTTTTCTTTTTTTTTATTTTTTTATCTTGAGAAGTGTTTCACCAGGTAGACGGCCCAAATCGATTTGTTACATAACCACGTGAACAATACATATAACAGTAAATTGCTCACACGAGGACTCATAATGTAAGTATGAATGATATACATAAACATCATCGATCAAGTTTCATTTCAAAGACTCTCAATCTGTATTTCTCTAACAGTCACTAGCTATTGCATGATAACAAACTAACCCACCCCCACCAAAAATAGAAAAAAAAGAAAAAGAAACAGATATTAAAAAATGATGAACTTCAAGATCACAGAGCTTCCTCAGTGCTTATCACCCCCATAACTTGTTCTGGTGACACGAATGTAGCAATAAATGGCAGCGAAGATGGCGGTGAAGAATCCACCAAGGATGACCCCACCGCCAGCCACTGATCGATCAGACGACCGATGCTTTTCCCTCAGCCGTCTGATCACCGGAGCTTGGGCCACACTCGACTCTGTCTCGCCATCTGATGAAGAGGACTCTGCACCAGTACCCCATGATGGTGGCTCTGCTATGGGGTGACCAACCATCAGTTTTGGTGGGTTCAATTCTGAACCGTCAGATCTTACAGCGTTTGCTTGGACCAGAAAGAATTGAGGCAGTACCATCAAAACCAGCACAAGTTTTTTCATTTTAAATATGATATAAGTTATCCCACGCAAAGATTTAAAGAGCTCAAACCCTGCTTGTTGGATGACTCTGTGAATCTTGCTTATGTGCTGCGAGTTTGTGGCTACACGTCTATTTATAGAAGGGAAAATGTATGGGACCCCTTTGGGGTGACCTCCATATTCCGAAAGTGATCCTAACTCTTTATGTATGTGATTCATTTATATATATATATATATGTGAAATTCACATCATGCTGAGTAGTTCACATTTGTGGGGGGTTTTGTGAGGGTCTCAATCATTGCTCTTAATAAAAAGTATTAAATTTTATAATTTTAACTTATAATATTAAGTTGGGACACTATGTAGATATGTCCCAAGATCTTCATATAATTTTTCAGAAAAAAGTTTGATAAAATTTTGTTGTCAGGAATTCAAAATTTTATATCAATTGACAAGATTTAATGAATATGTGTCCCTCAAATTATAAGAAAGTTAAATGTACACTTTAAATTTAAAATTTGATTTTTTATGTTTTTGTTTTGTTTTAGTAATACATTCAAATTTAAAAGTTAACTTTACTTTTAAACTTAATGATGTCATCTATCAAAATATCTAAGGTAATTCTCTCTCTAGTGTCTTTTCTAATTATCAGCTAATCATTTTTTTTAAGACTATGATTTTGTTCACATACTTAAAATATATTTTGATTGGTTGAGAATACTAAGGCTTACTATTTTAGGTGAAGTCATTACATATTTAAAATATGATTCACATATTTAGACCAATCATATTTTGTGTATTATTCACTCATTAAAAAAGTGTGTGATTAAATTTATTCGCTCTCTTTTATATTTCAATAGATCTTAAAAATAGGTGAAAAAAAAGAAGTAAACTAATATATCAAATTTTCTTTTTGTCTGATTTTTCCTTTGTAGACTCAACTTTCCGTTTTATTGTTGGTAATCGTATGGTTTGAAACATCGGACAAAATTCATTAAAAGTGGGTTAGAGTGTGGATTCGCATACTAGAAAATTTGGTTTGACTTCCATCGTTCGAGGACCATAGACTTACAAGTCTGATGTGATAGTTTAATTAATTATTTTTATTTTTATATTTATTTTACCTTTTTTGTTTGTTTGGATACAGGTCTTGACCCTTGACCTGAGGTTCGGAGAATCATACTAAGGTTTAGTTTGGCTAAACTAAAAAAATACACTTATTTTATTTTTTTATCTTTTTTAGGTCACATCAATCAATATCTTCTCTTTACTTTTTCTACACATAATATAAAAAGTCAAAAAATACACTTATTTAATCTTTCCAAGCTTGGCCTTAATCCTAACACGCTCCCGAAGGACCAGGGTTAATAAGACTCTACTATATCTTAATAATTAGCCAAAATATAAAGATTTATATATACTTAACAAGTCTTGGGAAAATTACTGACCCCCTTGAAATTTGATAAAACTACAGTAAATACATTGAATTTGTTCATAGTTTAATGGGGGATGCACCAATAAATCCCAAATTAATAACTTATACACTGTTTAGTCTTAAAAGTTTTCTTATAGACTGAAAGATAGATTAATGTTTCAAACATTAGATTGATGTATAAATGGGATTAAATGGAGCATAAGAAAACTTTTAAGACTAAATGGTTCAACTTTTCAGAAACTAGGACTTATGGGTAAATTTTCTTAGTTTAATTTCACTTACACCTATTTTTAATCAGAACTAACGGCCGAACATTCGCAATACACTTGCAAAATCGTAAAATAAATATATGTTTGACGTAGTGCATTAAAAGAATTGAATATATAAATTAAAAAAAAACAAATTGAATGTAAAAACAATATTGTCTAAACCCAGTAGCCGTAATTGAATATAAATTTTTTAAAAATGAATATATATAAAAAGTTAAATACAAATTCAAAGACTAAACATTTGCAATCAAAGAGACTTAATAAACATGGAAAAAAAACAAATAAATTAATTAAAAACTCAAAGATAATGCAAAAACATATGAGTGTGTATAGTGGCGGAGGGAAATGAAGGCCAAGGCGTCATGTGCCCCCTTGGATTTGCTAAGTGATATCACATGTCAATGATGGCATGGTATTACTATTATATTGAATTTTTATTCAAATTTTGTATAAAAAAATAATTTATTATTATATAATTTATTTTAAGACTTATATCTATATTTTTTTTATATTGTCCACGACACACTAGTTATAAATTACATTATTTTTTTGATATTTTTCAAAATCAATCGTAAAAACTTACACGAAATATTTTTGTAAAAATTTTTGATATTGTAATTAATAAGTGGCCCATCTAATTTGATTTTCTGCCTCCGCCATTGAGTGTGTATATATATATCCTATAAAATTTGAAGATAATGCAAAAGTATACGAGTGTGTGTGAATATATATATATATATATCATATCAAACCTTGAAAGTGGAAAAAAAAAAAATCTGAATATCTATTCCCCCCCCCCAAAAAAAAACAAATAAGCCTCCGTTTGGAAAGTAGGTTGGCTTTTTGGCTTTTTTGACTATTTTAGCCTGGGTTAAAAAGTTTGGTTTGTGAAGGGCTTTTTGACTTTTTGACTTTTTTGACTGTTTTTTGAGAGAAAAATGTAATGATTATGGGTTGGATGTGATATTTTATTTTTTGTGGCTAAAATTGCCTATTTTATTTTTTGTAGTTAAAATAACCAAAAAAGTCCCGTTTAGCTCTTATCAATACATATGAGCATTTATACATATCCTATCAAACAACAAATATGTAACTTTGAAAATACATATGAGCATTTATATATATCCTATCAAACATTTAAACTCAAAAGAAAAAAAAAAAATCTAAATATCTATTTCTTCCTCATTATTCTTTTTTTTTTAAAAAGTAAGTAAGCTTTCATAATATGTTTTCAACTTATCATTCTTCACTATCTAAGAATTAAGGGAATTTTTCTTTTTAATAATATTATTATTATTCAAAAAATGTTTAAGAACATCCTCATTCTATTTTTGTGTGTGCAAATTTTTTTTTCTTTGAAAAGTTTGGAATATTACTTTTTTGGAAACAGTTTGGGAAATGAAAAACAATTTACCAACATTTTAAAGAAAGATAGAAAGAAAAAGATTGAAAACACAATGAATAAAAAAAAAGTCATTCCCTTTTTTGTTTTTTTGTTTTGTTTTGTTTTTTGTTTAAAATAATGTTTTGTGGTATGAGTTTCTAGTTTGTAATATTTTTTGGTACTATTATATGTTTGATGTACCTTGTTAGAAAAAATATAGGAAAGGCTTCTGAACCCTTCTTTTGCAGTTGTTCAAAATGTATAAATGGTTACTCAGAATGCTGTACATCCTCTGTTTTTCAGGCCTTTCCTTGTAAATGAATTGGGTCCACAACACCTTCTTCATGATAGAAGGAAGGTATATGAGGTATGCTTTTTAATCCTTCATCTTGTTGTCAAGGTTTGTATTCATTGTACTGGTAGATTGTGTTTTATGATATAACTAGTTTGAATCTTCTTGTTTTAGTGACACGTGAATCCTTAACCATTCCTCTTTATTCTATTCATTCTCTACTCTACCAGCTCCTACAATATGTGCTTCACTTCTTTTGCATTGATATTGAAGCCAACTATTTTTTACCATGATCCTCCTGGGCCTTCCCTTTCTTGATCACTGACGAACTTATTTTTCATTTGAAAGGTGGTCATACACATGATTTTGCTTTCCTTTTCACATGTCAATAACTGTAGAAGCTTGCTATATGTACCTTCATATTAAAGTTTACTGTGTTAATGGCTCCTTTGATAGTTATTACCATTTTTTTTTTATAGTTATTACCATTTTGGTAATTGAGTGTTGAACATAAATGCCATTTTTCCCCCCTCTTTTCTCCTTTCAAAATCAAGTGTCTTGAAATGCATGGAATTCCTGTTCCAAGATATGCCCTTGTAAATAGAGAAGTGCCGTATCAAGAGCTGGATTATTTTGTTGAGGAAGAAGATTTTATTGAGGTTCACGGGAATCGCTTTTGGAAGCCTTTTGTGGAGAAGCCTGTTAATGGTATGTTTGTTTCCTCAATCATTTGGACATTGCGTTTTTGCTACTTCTGTTATGAGTATTTGGGCTAAATTATGTGATGTGATGCAGTCCCTCTTGGATGTGATATTTTATTGGTTTGTCAACAATATCTGATGTTTACTTAGTACATAAACTTGGATTGTAAGAATAGTGGGAGGGAAGTGTCTTCCAGTACTGTTCTACAATATTATTAGAACCATAATGGAGATTTTCTTTTGTTGTCATTTATGGAATAAAACAGTTTGGACCATATGTATGTTAAAATGACAATTGCAGTTGCTTGTAGTGTCTTAAACCTATATATTTCTTCTTCTTGAGTTTCTGAATCTTATTGTGATCATTGAGAGTAAATTTTGAGCAGCTTGGATATATGATACAAATTTCTTTTTTGGCCAATTACAAATATGCTGCTTTTTAAAATATTTTGGTATCTCTATTTATGTGCGAATATCATTTTTAAGTCTGCATTGGTAACAAATTTGAGTTGTGTTTTTATGAAGGCGATAACCACAGCATTATGATATATTACCCTAGTTCAGCTGGTGGGGGTATGAAAGAATTGTTCCGGAAGGTGAGAATTTAATATGACCTCTTTATCAGTTGTAATTAGTACTTAAATTGCTTAGGTATAATTTTACTTTTTGTTAGGACATCCTTGAAAGATTAAATGGTTTTTGACTCTAAACATATGTTCTTTACAAGTTTCTCTTGATTGAAGTGAGTGATTCTCTTTCAAATCAATTGATCACGTTGAGTGACCTTCATACCTAACAACATCAAGTAGCATCTCGGGACTATCCTCTTCTCTTGGTTGAGAGCATTTGGCTTTGGTCACCATTGTAGGCTCTATCCTCCATCGTTGTGGTTTTTATTTTTTTTCCCCTGGTCCTGTTTTGTTTTGCTGTTAATATCATCAGAAATATACATTTATCTTTTCTGCACATAACATTTTTTTTATTAAAAAAAAATGTTATCTTTTGTATTTCATCTATCAGTTTCCATTCACTTGCAAAAACAATTCCTCAATTTTAACCTTCAGAATTATCTTTTCTACCAAACATATTTTCAGTTCTTCCATTCGGTGATTAGAAACATGCTTGCATGCATACCAGATTATCTTGCTGGAAGTTTTACTGAAGAACATATTATTGGAGTTACTCTCTTTCTAGAAGTTTAATACTTTGATCAAATTAAGCAAGGTTACATTAGAATTCACAGATTTTGAGGGTACATTTATGGTCATGGTGTAAAATCTTGGAGAGCTCTTGTGAAATCTCACAAGTTACTGGTTTTTCCATGGCTTGGCAAAATTAAATCCTAAAATTGTGGTAGGAGGTTAACTTCGAAGAAACATTTTGGATTGAAGTTTAGTAGCAATACAGGATTATTGCTGGAGATTTTGGTAGTGTTGACAATGAATTAGAGAAAGGAGAAGAGGAACAAGAAGAAAAGGGAATGAGTGGAATAAATCTCATTATTTATCAGAGTTATGCATTGTTTTGTTTTGTTTTGTTTTTTGTTTAAAATAATGTTTTGTGGTATGAGTTTCTAGTTTGTAATATTTTTTGGTACTATTATATGTTTGATGTACCTTGTTAGAAAAAATATAGGAAAGGCTTCTGAACCCTTCTTTTGCAGTTGTTCAAAATGTATAAATGGTTACTCAGAATGCTGTACATCCTCTGTTTTTCAGGCCTTTCCTTGTAAATGAATTGGGTCCACAACACCTTCTTCATGATAGAAGGAAGGTATATGAGGTATGCTTTTTAATCCTTCATCTTGTTGTCAAGGTTTGTATTCATTGTACTGGTAGATTGTGTTTTATGATATAACTAGTTTGAATCTTCTTGGTTTAGTGACACGTGAATCCTTAACCATTCCTCTTTATTCTATTCATTCTCTACTCTACCAGCTCCTACAATATGTGCTTCACTTCTTTTGCATTGATATTGAAGCCAACTATTTTTTACCATGATCCTCCTGGGCCTTCCCTTTCTTGATCACTGACGAACTTATTTTTCATTTGAAAGGTGGTCATACACATGATTTTGCTTTCCTTTTCACATGTCAATAACTGTAGAAGCTTGCTATATGTACCTTCATATTAAAGTTTACTGTGTTAATGGCTCCTTTGATAGTTATTACCATTTTTTTTTTATAGTTATTACCATTTTGGTAATTGAGTGTTGAACATAAATGCCATTTTTCCCCCCTCTTTTCTCCTTTCAAAATCAAGTGTCTTGAAATGCATGGAATTCCTGTTCCAAGATATGCCCTTGTAAATAGAGAAGTGCCGTATCAAGAGCTGGATTATTTTGTTGAGGAAGAAGATTTTATTGAGGTTCACGGGAATCGCTTTTGGAAGCCTTTTGTGGAGAAGCCTGTTAATGGTATGTTTGTTTCCTCAATCATTTGGACATTGTGTTTTTGCTACTTCTGTTGTGAGTATTTGGGCTAAATAACGTGATGTGATGCAGTCCCTCTTGGATGTGATATTTTATTGGTTTGTCAACAATATCTGATGTTTACTTAGTACATAAACTTGGATTGTAAGAATAGTGGGAGGGAAGTGTCTTCCAGTACTGTTCTACAATATTATTAGAACCATAATGGAGATTTTCTTTTGCTGTCATTTATGGAATAAAACAGTTTGGACCATATGTATGTCAAAATGATAATTGCAGTTGCTTGTAGTGTCTTAAACCTATATTTTTGTGGGGCTATGAGTTTCTGAATCTTATTGTGATCATTGAGAGTAAATTTTGAGCAGCTTGGATATATGATAAAAGTTTCTTTTTTGGCCATTTACAAATATGCTACTTCTTAAAATATTTTGGTATCTCTATTTATGTGCGAATATCATTTTTAAGTCTGCATTGGTAACAAATTTGAGTTGTGTTTTTATGAAGGCGATAACCACAGCATTATGATATATTACCCTAGTTCAGCTGGTGGGGGTATGAAAGAATTGTTCCGGAAGGTGAGAATTTAATATGACCTCTTTATCAGTTGTAATTAGTACTTAAATTGCTTAGGTATAATTTTACTTTTTGTTAGGACATCCTTGAAAGATTAAATGGTTTTTGACTCTAAACATATGTTCTTTACAAGAATCTCTTGATTGAAGTGAGTGATTCTCTTTCAAATCAATTGATCACGTTGAGTGACCTTCATACCTAACAACATCAAGTAGCATCTCGGGACTATCCTCTTCTCTTGGTTGACCCCACCGTTCTTGATATTTGCCATCTCCTAGGGCTTTCACCCCATGGTTCTCCTTTTACTCCCAACTATCCAGACCTTCCTGTCAAATTTTCTCTTCCAGCCCTAAACTCTTCTTATAGTGACTTCGTAAAGGCTGAAAATAAGAGAGAAGGTCCTGTGCGGGACAGAGAATTCTTCTAAAATCTGGATCAACTTTTATCTCTTCGAATTCATGCCCAGTATGAAGCAGAGAATTTCATTGAAGAGTTCGATGACTTCAGGAATAAAGATTCTGCGTACTGGGATGATTTGGTTATGGATGACTTGGAACAAAAATCGAGGGAAGAGGCTTTCGAAGCAAAGGCTGAAGAACTCTATTATGAAGTGAGAGCTCATCAGCTTATGCAATCAACTTTAGAAGAGATAGAAGAAATAATAAAGAAAGAACAGAAATTTATTGACCATTGCTGGACAAAATTTCATGACCTTGTTATTTATTCTATTCCTTATTTTTATGAGCTTGAATTTGTACCGAGATAGAGTTACTTAATGTAATTATCTTGGCTTTAATATAAACAAAGTCTTTCTGTATTTAACACTGTTTGACTTTGTTTCCTTTTATCTTTAACAGCTAACTCGTAACTTCGAATTTGAACAATCTCATCCTTCGAATCAATTGTTTAATGAAGTACTAAAAGAACCAATCATGTCTTTTTCCAATTCATGGAGTAAAATTGACAATTCTGGCAGATATTATTTTAGTACTTCGATTTCAATGACTTTACTTCTTCAACACTAACTGTAACCAATATATGGTCATGGTTGATAAAGCCAATCAAATTTTAAACTGATCTCTTTTGGCTTCGAAGGGCAACCTATGGCAATTCCCTCTTGCTCATACAGAAACCAGTGATTGGTCTTAGATGTTTCGAACAGTGCCCCTCTTCCTTAAAGAGTCCTAGGGTTTGTTTCGAATGTTGTCATTTTGACTGATAACCTTCAAACAGGTCTTTAGATTTTTGAAGTAGACCAATACTTTGAGCATTCAGGCATTTTTAAGCATGTAGTATACTCTCATACTCAGAGAATACTAGGGTTTGCTCCGAAGGTCGTTACTTTGATTCATAACCCCTAAACAGACCCATAATCAAGCAATTTAGCACCTTTAAGCATATACTAGGCTTCGAAGCCGACTTATGTATTTCGAAGCCGTTGTTATTTGATTTTTTGACGCCAAGATCTTGTTTTCGAAGCCAAATATTTCATTTCGAAGCTGGCTCCAATCCCCGGAATAAGCTTTTCCCTCCAAAATTATCCATATTGGAAGAAATTCCTCGCATTCGTAGTTTTAGTACTTAACGACTTATGGGGTATAATTTCGGACACAACGGTTTAAAACCCTCTCGTTTCGTGTTCCGAAATCTCTTGCCTTTTACAAACCCTTCTCTCTACTGGTTCTTTTGATCTTCTTTGCTCTTCTTTTGCTTACTACCAATGGATCCCTCCTCTCTAAAAGTACTTGCTGGCGACCAAATCAGTCCTACCATGGCTTTGAAACGTTGTATCGATGAAGAAATCAGCAAGCTGACATCTGGTGAGTCAAGTAACATCGATGGTCGTATTTTCGTTCCTCGCCACAGCAACAAACAGGAGTACGTCCTAGGTCCTATCTTCCGGGAGGTTCCTGCTCAACTCCCAGCTCTGTACCCTCATTTGGAGGACCACTTCCTTCTTTACGAAGGAAGGCTTGATTGGGGAACTTGGAGGGTAAACCGTCCTCATCGTTGCTGGCCGACATTGAGGACTGAATGGGAAGAATGGTATGACAGAGTGGTGCCTGCGAGAGAAGATGACCTGCAAGAGCTTTATATCCTCGATGCCCTTCGACTTTCCAGGTTCATTATTCCTGAAGACCCCTTTTTGATTCCTACTGCCTTATGTTTTTGGAATATGGCTTTCAATTTCTTCCAGTTTCGGTGCGGTATGATGGCCCCCACCGTTCTTGATATTTGCCATCTCCTAGGGCTTTCACCCCATGGTTCTCCTTTTACTCCCAACTATCCAGACCTTCCTGTCAAATTTTCTCTCCCAGCCCTAAACTCTTTTTATAGTGACTTCGTAAAGGCTGAAAATAAGAGAGAAGGTCCTGTGCGGGACAGAGAATTCTTCTCCTTCATATTATACTAGTTATGCAAATTCCTCTTTTGCACCTCATCTCAGAGGATTATGCCTGAGTTTGCTCCACTTGCGAAGGCACTCGTTTTGAAGAAATATATCGCTCTTGCTCCTTATCTTCTAGGTCATGTTTACAGAACCTGCTCCCAATTTTGCGAAAAACCCCTCGATGCTAATCAAGGAGGTCCCCTCTGGGTGCTCCAACTCTGGCTCTTTGCTTATTTCACTGACCTACATCCCAAGTGTTTAGGATTCCTTGTTCAGGAAACTTCATCGAAGAATTCGACGACTTCAAGAATAAATCTGCTTCCTTCTTTTGTCCTTTCGAAGCCAATAGAGGGCCAACCTGGCTACAATCTTTTCTGGCTGATAAGGAATGTTCCACTTCTCCC